TTTCCAGACTTCATGAAATAAAAATCTTCATTGTGAACTTAACAGAGTATTTACAAGCAATTAGAGGTAGGACCACTGCTCTTTAGATTCTTTACTTTCTGCAGCACTGCGAATTGCCGCACGGATTATAGTTCTGTGGGCAGGAACACTGACTGGTATTAAGTTGCGGCTGGCAGCTGATAACAGCCGGCTGGCAGGACTGCGCGCACGATTGTTGGCAGGCAGGTTGACATTGTGATGCTGGCTGAAAGTATCAAGAATAAGTTCGGTTCGTTTCGTCTGGAACGCATAAAAAACGATTTCCTTTCTAGAAAATGATACTTACTCGGGAATTCGAAAGAGCAGAGGTGGTAAAGCGCTATTCGTTCAATAACGGGAACAGTTTTTCATATGACGCCTAACACCTGTTACTCTAATTAAAGTAAAGCTTTCCCTTTACACGTAATCCTTTATAGTGATACGCAGCAGGCTCAAGCGGTGCGTCGCGGAAAAGTTGCCCTCGCGGTACCTACAGGCACTTTATTCGTCTTCTTGAGGGTGCGAACACCTTCAAGAAAAGGGAAGAAGGTGCCTGAACGGCCATTCCCTCTCCCTCCCAAAAAGGAAAGGGTCCTTCACCGTATCCAGAAAAGTGTAATATAATCTAGTGCTTTGTTGAACGAGGGCAGTAGTCCGCTAACTTTGCCACTGCTCTGATTATAGACACCTGCACATACGTTTGCACGACCCCCCTGGAGGCCACATACAGCCCTCATGTCGCAGATCCTGCGGCCGTGAAGATGGACCCTGAAGAGCAACCCCTCTAGATTCCGCTGAGCGATCCTACTGCCACATTTGCAGGTGGTACAGCTCTACAAGCTGATGCTCACCCTCTCCTCCCCTAAGATCAATGTCTTATCGTGCATGGTGATCTATTACCTTGGGAGTAATATTACCTGGTTCTGCTGCATGCACTGATTGCTGCACGACGTTTCACAACTTGACTGACAGTTCGGCGATTGAAGTGTCGTTGGCGGCAAACTGATAACCACCTTGAGTTCCGCTACCTTCTTCTGAAAGAGCTTTTTGAAAAGAATGTTGCATTCTGCACAATTGCTGGTTTAATTTTAATTGCTTCGCTCAGATCAGCCAAAGGAAATGTCGCCGTGCCCAGGGTATTTCATACTTTGGGCTTACCAGCGAGAGGCTTGTGCTTGGTCGCTGGAGGTTGAGAGGAAGCCGTATTGCCTTTAGGAAGGATGTCCTCAGTTGTTGGCCTTCTCTTTCCCTTTTTTAAGTGTGCTATATATGCCTGTCAGCCCCACTCCCTTGCGCTCGAGTGCGGTTTTCTAGAGAAAAAGGAGAGTAGTTTTCGGAATTTTGGAGAAAGACCTCAGGAGTTAGGGAAATTAGAAAGTTGGTAGGTAGGATAGGGATGGGGAAGGAGTTAGATGGTCGTATTTAGCAGAAGCACCTTCAGAGGAAGGGCGTGCCTCGAGTGGTGCTGATCGCTACGTGTACGGCGGTGGGTAAACCCCTAATCAGGTCTAGCCCAAGGCAGCCAGCCCTTCACCGGTAGAGTGGTATCATATTCAACTAGGAGGACAAAAACTGTAACATGAACATCGACTCCGCCCACCCGCGCTCTCGGGACCACAATCAAAAAAGCAGAACCTTTAGGATTCCTAAACTTGTTTCAGGATCAAGAGGAGGAATGCTCTCGAGGGAAAAAAAACTTGGGTAGTAAAAAATGTGAATCCGGTTCCTCGTCTCGCAAGGAGGATCACAAGATTGGTTTTCTCCATTTCTGACAAAGCCTATGTAAACTCACCTCAGGAGGACTACAGACCGGCTCGCATACATTTGCGCATTGCTGTTGACACTGGACTGGAGCCGACTGCTGAGGGCAACTCTGTGAGCAGGTCGATTGGCACTGACCGCAACGGCTCTGAAAAGGAAAAATCGGTGGAGAATCACGAGTTGGATCAGGCCCAAAAAAGCTGGTGGTGCAAAGGTCTACGAGGCGTCTTTTTGGCATACCTCTTGTTGAACCGGAGCACGGGTAGGTTCTGGCAACATGCCAGGCGTATTGTAAGTCAGCTGCTGGATCAGCTTCTGAGCGTACTGGTCATCGGAAATGCTGAAAAGGTTGCAGTTGTGGAGTGAGTCCTACATTTGCAATGTCGCTACTGTGGAAAATATGAAAAAACACACCAGCTGTTTTGACATGACTGCTCACAGGCCGGATGGTTCTGTGGTTGGCAGGATGAGAGGCACTGTGTACTGCAGGCCGCCTGTAAAGAGGCATTTTTCAACATCAGTGACAAAAACGACCAGAAAAAAGGTATTCTCAGAAAAAATTGATTAGAAGCCAATACTTATCTGAGAGGCAAGTTAGCCATATACTTTAATGGAATTTGCTTTACCTGTTGTATGGGTTGACAGGCGGCTTGGCAAGAGTTCGAGCAGCTCTGCTGGCACTGTACAGGCGACTGGCAGGTACTTTGACAGGTGGACTGACACGAGGGCATGCATTGGTCGGCCTGAGAAAACTCAATGTAGACTTTGAGTCCATCTTTTTCCTTATCTCTCTTGGGAGAATGCATTAGACACTACCAAGAAACATAACTGTCAATAAAGAACGTAATTATCCAGTCCATAGAAAGTTCACCTGAGCCTGTACAGCACACGGACACGAACTGATGGGCGCCTGCTGTGGGGCAGAACATTGACAGGATGGCTGCGTGGGTGCTTGCTGGCACTGGCAGACTGGTGCTGCTGCTGGTGGTGCGCAACCACACGACGAAGTCAAGGAGGACTGACGGCGCCATCGACCCTGAACGATAGTTACCGTTAATATGGCTTTACTAAAATTGAAGTGGGACGCTGGGTTTGTCAGATTTCTGTAAGAATCGGAACCCTCTTCAGCCGAATCTTTCGAAAGCTAAAAATTCGTCCGTCGATTATGCTGGGATAGGAAGACAAATTCCTGTGACACAAATCATACCATCGTAAACTTATGTAGAAATAAGGCCAAGGTGATGTGGTGGCGTGAGGCTTAATATCAACGCGCTATAGGGCCACTATGCGGAATCGGGACCCTTCCTGCCGCTGGGAGAATTGTTTCGAAAGCGCGACCCTCAAACTTCCTACACTGGTACGACTCCCCTCCCTTGCCTCCTTCCTGCCATATTCCTGAGTTTTCATTACATCCCACCACTTTTTCTCGTTTGTTCGTGTTCTAAGAATTTTCCAGTTTTCCCAAATGAGGAGGAGAGGAGGAGGAAATGAACTTCTCGCACCAGCACCCCTTCCACACCTACGGAATACGAGCGTCGCCTCGTCCGCTTGATATTTCCCAACATGGCCTGACGTAGCACCAGATTTCTACTGCATACAGTAAGCCACGACAATGGAGTGGAAGTGGAATGCGGGTCGCGTCCCAAAAAGGGGCAAATCAAAGGCGGAAGTTTTGTCTTAAACCCGTCATGTCAGAAATGATGAATCAGGACACACGAAGAACCTTACTGTAAATCATATGACGGAGCAATGCGTCAATACCCTCCGATAGCATCTAGCGAGTAGCGGGGTAGTGAGAACTGCAAGAAGCAGCCATTGTCTAAGATGCTAATCTTGATCGCTCCACCGCTTCGGGACGGTTGAATTGAGTTTGTCAACTGTCAACAACCTATCAATCACCACATTGATCTCTCGATTTCCCAGTGAAGTATTGGAATCTTCATACAAAAGCTTCAGCGATGACCCGCTCCGGGGAGTGTCCAGAAGGTTCAGATTTTTTACGATCAATTACCTCACGAAGCAACTGGGCTAGTAAGCATTATCCATTTTGTGTCCTTCAAAAATAGATGAATTGTTTCTCAGAAGGGATGCTTTTGATCACACTACGTCGTTATTAGAAGATCCTCTCACCATTTCTCTCTCTCTCCCTTTCTCTCTCTCTCTCCCTCCTCCTCTCTCTCTCTCTCTCTATCTCTCTCTCTTGGACAGATAATCGGGAATTTCTTTCGGTTTTTGTCATGCGAAATATGTACATTTCGCTCCCAAAAACGTGATATGTTAACCAAAGAACATGAAACAGATGCCAGCTAGACCATATGAAGCATCAAGCATCGAAAATGATGACACAACATGTGTGTCACGCGGTCCGGAACGTGTTAAAGGCAGTTGGCACGATGTTTTGGTACTCGGCTTAAAATGCTAGTAGGGCGCTATATAGTGGGGAAATGGCGAAAGAACGGAGTGAAACGGTGAAAATCCTGCGAAGAAAAAGCCTCCGTTCTCAGTGACTTTGAAATTTTGGACGAGTTTCCCGTAGGCATCTTGCCAATAACCGCTACCGAAGATACGGCTGCATATGTGTACTCATATATCCATGCAGCATCACGGCCGCTTCATACCAATCCCTTCGCTTCATAATTTGCTTAGCAAATGAATCAATACGAGCGTCAGGAACGGTCGTCCATTTGTGGGCGGGCGGGCGTGGTGGGCGTTGGGTCGGTATGTTGTGGCTTGATAGGCCCTTATAAGGGCACCTTCCTTGGAAAAGGCGCTATGCAGCGCCTGCTCAGGGTCGCGGAATTCCGTCCTGCCAGGCGTATTAATCCTGCTCGTCTTGGGGATTTATCGTGCCAACTGCCTTTAATATGTCGCTGTCGAAGAAACAAATTTGATTCGTGGTTCAAAAAAGTCCTGATCCACGAATCGCCTCATTTTCTCAGGAGGTTACAATAGCGTGCCAGAAACCAAAGCAAAATGAAGAATAATGGAGAACCTCTTCCGCCCTCATTTCAGTGGTAATTAATTAGTGACCTCTACTAAACTATATATATTACTGTTACTACTTGTCTCATGGATATAGTTGGTGTAGAGACCAGTAGTGGAGCTAACTATGTACGTCAAATTTCAGATCAAACCCCGCCAGTCACGTTCTACAACCAGAGCACCCGACTCATCGTCAGGATCAAGCCTCTGATGTGCACGGGCGACTGGATCTGGAAGTAACACCCATAGCAGATTACAGGGTGGACACAAGTTTGGTAACACAAGAAAAACCAATTCAGAGATCGTTAATGCCAGAAAAAAACCTAGGAAGGATCATCGGCCAGTGAAGTATTATATAACATGCTGTTTCATTACATTATTGAAATCCAGAGTCACTAGAATGATTCAATGAGACAATCCGCTGTTGCATTTTGGAGCTTTGAAGCCAAAATAAAAATTCATAGATGTTATTGAACTCCCGGTGAAGAAAACAGTAAGCCAAATCGCTGAGGACGCTCCATGCCCTCCGGGATGGGATGAATATTTAAGAGACTGACATTGCTGTAAGTGTGAGAGACCATGGACAAAGAATGAGGGACAAGGAAGACAGGCTGGAAGGCAGGATGCGAAGGGGCGATTCCACACAATTGAATGCAACGCACGCCTGTGTTGATAGAAATAGAAGCGTTAACATATCTTGTCCCGTGATGGTTGAGGCATCTTCTATGAACGGCTCACCTTGGGGGTTGCCGGTTTCAGCGCCTTGTTCTCATTCAGAAGCCGTGGAAGTGAGATAAGCACAGAGACCAAAGGCCGGACTACTACCACAAGAAAGAGCTTATATTCTCAAGGTAGTCGCGGGATGTGTGTCCTTCTGAGGAGGCATTCATCGTGACACCAAGTAGACGTCAGGAGGATAATAGGCCTTCTTCAACGTGCGGTCCTGCATGATCATCCTTTGGTGAATTCATCTCCAGTAGTTTTCGGCTTTGTAGGCATTTGGAATCATATCTTGGATGTATGTGAATATTGAAGTTAGCCGTATGAGGGTAGATGTGATTAAAGTCTGTAGTCTTGCTGATTATCTTGTTATATTAGTGGTGGTCCATTAACTCCCAAAATGTTCTGACACATTTCGGCTAGGAAAAAGGGACGGATTGGATGGAATTTTAAAGACTACATCTTGTTGGTTTCATAATTCGTTTGACTTGCTTTCCGTTCGGGATCTTTCTCACCATATCGAGCCCAATCCTTCATTTGAGATTAATTTGAGAATGTTTGCCGTCATCTAGAGCTATCATTTCCCTTGATCGCTTTTAATCTCTTGACCTAAGACGTGATATTGGCACATCTGGGCGTTTTAGCATACTACGCTTCTATGTACACGGATATTGGCTTAACTTTGTAATTAGTTGTTTTCATGCTGCTAGTTCAGGTAAGTTAGAATGTAAAATACAGCCAAGGAACGCTTAGAACAGTCAAAGATGAATATAACAAAAAGAATTTCCCGAAGATGTAGCGAAAAGCTAATTGAATTAGAAAAACTTGCAACAAACCTCCGCACACGCGTATTAATACCGAATTGACAAAACGTGCACTCAGCGGGAGCGAACCTCATCGTACCTTGAGGCTAGTGTGACCACCTGATGGTTTTAAATGCTCGTTGAGCACGGGCAATGAATGTCAAATCCGGTTTTGTGCGCCCGTCGGAACGACATGTTTCCGCTGATTAGGCACTCTTAAGTATGGCGGACAATATGTGCTCACATTGCGGATCGCATACAAACTCTCTCACGGCTCGTGTGCGTCGTTGACGCCAAGCTGCAGGTAGTTTCACGGCACGTCCACTTTTTCACAGCGATCGGAACTTTTTGAAAGAACTGACGCGCTAGTGACAGTTCTATGTTAGCCAAAACATTCATATTGAATTGATTATAAAGGTTCCTGTAGCATAGTGATAGTAATGATAGTAATTGGGCATTCGAAGATGGCATAGAAAGGGACGCTGGTGGGATATTTCAGTCTGGGCGAACTGTCATCTTGCTGTCACACAATTAGTCAGTTTAGCGGTGGTCCTTCTACAAAACCTACCGTATGATCTAAGGTGAGTTCTTGTGTTTCGGATTTGCGATACCTTCCTAGATGCGCTGATCTACGAACTATTTCTAAGTTTGAAATGATTTATGAGGATTGAATCACTGATCTTCAACTTCCAGGCTCTGACGAAGGCGACTAGCCGAAACGTAAGCCCAATAAAGTGATTTAACACCTTGGCTGTGGCTTCAAGAAATCATTGAAGACAAGGACACACACCATGCCAAGGTTCATGGACAGTCGAACATGGAGTGTCATCTTGCTCATTGTTGGAAAGAGGCATGACCACAGTTGTGTGAAAATGAAAATATCCCAGTAAATACACAGCCACAGCCATGTTTGGTTGAAGTGCGCAGCAACGCCTACCCCATCTCAGGGATTTCGAGTGTATCGTAGAGTACTTCTAAAGGTCATATTAAACAGGGGCCCATTGTGAGCCCTTGAAGATTTGAGACATAGGATTCGCTGGTTAATAAATTTGACATTATGAGTTCGTAGTAGGCACCCTGCTAGATTCTATGAAGCCGACGGGCTCACCAAAATGAGCGATGATCTCGCTTACGATGAAACGGGGTGTCATTTGCGTGAGGTGGGGTTCCAGAGATATTTCTAGAGGTAAGCAATACACACACTCGAAATACCTGAGATGAGCTAG